TTTAATATTTATTTACGTGGTCACGCATTGATGAAGTTTTTATGTTCTCTTGTTCACCAGATGATCATGATGTAATATCATTTATAACACACAGTATCACCTCACCATCTGATATAGTAAGTTGTTCCTATGCCTGCAATTATGCTCAACAATTTTACCAGAATTGCCATTTCTCAAGAGGGTGCCTCCACTCAATGCCAGTTTCTTATCAGTTTTGAAAGAATGACAAAATTAGTCTTGAAGAAGGGTGGTGTGTCTACCCCCACCCCATCCCCCTCCCTCTACCTGGAAAACTACACTATCGGTACCCCAGATTGATTGAAAAGACTTATATATGTTGTGAATTATAAACAATGCCAAATGCTGTACATTAATGGGTTATTCTAGAAGTATCATTTAATAGGATTTAAGCTTTTCAATGTACAACATACATAATAAAAATGTGTGATTTGAAATCTGTATTGAAACTGCTGTTGCACAATATCTTCTTATACATGTGCGTCGTTTACAGAAGAAGAAAATGTCTGAAGATGAAATGAAGAAACTTAATGAGCAGTATGACCAAATGACAGAGAAATTTCAAAAAGAAAAGGATGAGTATGTGGTCACTGTAATTACTTGTCGAAATTCCTCATTAAAAGCGAGACGATTAGTTAGTAAACTTTGATTTTACAAGCTATCTATCTTTCACCATTTGTAGTTGTAGAACAGTATGCACATGTAGAACAGTATGCATTAATATAAATAAAGTTATATATTTAACAATTTATTTTTCTTAAATCTCTATATAATGCCATCAATCCCCCAGCTAATGGACCTTTCCCCTTATAACTAAAATTTCGATCTAGACAAAAATTTCATCACAGCTTGAAAGAGCATCACAAAATTAGTAATATTCCAAAGTTTTGTTGCAAAATGTTGTAAAATGCGGATAATATAGCCTTGCGAAGTTTGCCGTTTTTCAGTCATTTTGTATTACAAACGGGAAATTGACATACGATTCGGGTGTTGGGGCTGCAATTTCCCGTTTGTAATCTAAAATGACTGAAAATTGCAAATTTCGCAAGGCTATATTATCCGCATTTTACAACATTTCGCAACGAAACTTTGGAATATTACTAATTTTGTGATGCTCTTTCAAGCTGTGATGAAATTTTTGTCTAGACTTGCCTAGATCAAAATTTTGGTTATAAGGGGAAAGGTCTATTGAATATTAATAATTAATTCAAATGGTTATCTGACTCGATTAACCATATATGGTTATCTCAGAAACCCAGCACGAATTATTTTGTCCTACTTATTGATTAATTTTTGATTAATCATTTTGTAAATTTTTTCATAAAAGCGTGCTGAATAAAAGTCTTCTTCTTTCCATAAAAGTCGTTTCTGGATACTAAAGAGGCCCAGGAAAAAATTTCCGCGGAAAGAGAATTTTGTAAAATGTGATTGGCCGACACAAATTTTCCTTCCGTCGGAAAAAAATTTTAAATTGATAACTTTTAACAATGTCATTTTCGGAAATTTTCCATTTCTGGAAATTTTTCTTGAGTGAGGAAATTTTTCTTTCAGGAAAATTTTTCGCGGAAAGAAAAATTTTGTGAAATGTGATGACAATTTTAAACTCCTAACAGTGATAATTATTCAACTTTTGACAACTTTTAACAATGATATTTTCGGAAAATTTTCTGTCCGTGGAAATTTTTCCCGAGTGGAATTGGGCCTCTCGGTTTTGTTTAAATTTTTGTTTTGGATAGATCTGGTTTATTCACAGTGGTTTAATAGATCACACACCCACAAATACACACCTCATTAAAAATTTAAAACTGTATTTTGATTTTATTTCAGGTACGCCAAGGCACACCCATCAGATTCGAATTACGATTCACAGGTAACATAATTCTTGGCACTGGCAGTATGTAAATGAACATTAAATACTCGAGGAATTTTAACAGTAAAGGCTGGTGTTTACACTATCAAAGTTTCTCTGATCACAGTAGGAATTTTGCATGAGTAAATTCTACGTTTTGAAGGATTTGTTTGAAATACTTGAGGGAACATGGCTCAATTTTGTTTAAACACTGTATCAGTTTCCGCAACTATTTCTTACAAATCCTTCGAAACTTAGAATTTATACCAATGCAAAAATTCCTACTGTGATCACAGAAATTTTGACAGTTATTCAGTTTTATTGTTCATTATCTTGTTGCAGTTTGAAACACCATACGATCGAGATCTAAGGTTGATCTATGAAGGCCAGAACGCCGTGCATCAGATTGTCAAGTAAGTAATTTGTTCGACGTGTAATTATCAGGGGCCGGTTGTATAAAAACGTAATTAGCGCTAACTGTAGTTAGCGTTAATCACTGTAGTTAAATCCTTAACTGTAATTAGTTAACTACATGACTTAACTGCGTTGCACAAAACGTAGTTAGTCGGATAGTTAACTAATCACGTAGTTAACTGTGCGTGGGGCTTGCGTGGGGCGGTTAAACACAAAATTACATAAAGTAAGCAGCGAATAACGACCGCTGACACACATTTTCAACATGATTGTGGACTCGTATTTTGCAAATAGGCGGGAATTTTATTCAAAACGCTAGAAAAACAATGAAAAATATACAAGAAAACAAGGAAAAGCCGCCACAAAAATCATAAAAGAATGCAGTTTTTCCTTGAGATGCCTACGTTAAACCAAGGTATAGCTGTTTGGCAATTATATATCAGTGTTTCTTGGTGTACTGGACCATACTTCGTCTTCGAGAAGTCGTCTTGTGCAAAAATATGTTCTGTTTTCGTAAAAACACCAAAGCGATAGCGTTTGAAGAGTTTATATTGTCAGGAAACATTCACAGGGAAGATAGCGATTGAAAATCTCAGGTAACCGTTGTTTTTCATTGTTGTTTTACTGAAAAATGTTGTTCACTCCTATACAAACGCCATTTTTAACTACGTTTTGGACAGTTAACTATACCCTAAAGCATAGTTAACTTTAACTTCTTTTTAACTGCAGTTAAGGCTAACTACACTTTTATACAACCGGCTTAACTACGTGATTAAAGTTAACTATTTTTTAAGGCTTTTTAACTACTTTTTAACTGCAGTTAGCGCTAACTACGTTTTTATACAACCGGCCCCAGAACTTTGGGCATCTATGTACGCTCGATATACAACTAATTTTAGAAGGGTTTTGTTATGAATTTTATACACCTATTTAACATAACCAGGAGCAGTTGGAATTGTGCTGTGGAATTGTGTTCCACCCAGTGAACTCTAATAATAACTGGAAGGCTAAGTCAGGGGGGGAAGTTGAAGCCGTGCTTGAAGCTTTTTTTGTAGGTAGACCCAGTCCTTTTTAATTTTTTTTTTCAAAATATGCACATTTTTTGATCAGAAAAATCTTGCCCCAAAACATTAGTTATACTACCAAATTTAATTTATATCAGTAGTATGATAAATGAATTTAATATTCGCAAAGCAAACAAATCACGAATTAGCAAAAAAAATGCGAAAAACACGACCATAAGCATGAACAGTCTGAAAAACCGCGCGTTTTAGGCTGCTTTTTCTGAGTTTTGGGAAGTTTAAGATAAAACTAAGACGTCATACCTCAGGAATTTTTTATACCCATGCAAAATACATTTGTATGCGAAGTTTCAAGAAGATTTAACGTTTTAAGGTCGAAAAAAAGCATTTGAAAATTGACAAAAATATTGCCATATTCAAAGTGCTCATAGTGGCCAACAAGATGCCGATGACGAAAATAACATCACTTGAAAAACGCCAATTTATTTATGTTTAAGAGCGATTAAAACAAGGACTAAAAGCTCAGGATCAATAACAATACCTGGGGTTTAGTACAACATAAGTTTTGGGACTGTCAAAATGTTTTATAGTATATATTTTTGAGTTGAACGGCGAGGTTTCCTTCGGCACGTCCAAACTTTCGTCATTTTTTCAAAATACAAAAGCAAAACTCCTTACTTTTTTCTGCAGAGAGATGTAAAACAGTTGGAACTAATCGAAAAACCTGGTTTAAATCCCAATCATTGTTGTATTCCCATGGAAAAAGTGTTTTTCTTGCAAATTTTTGCTCGAAAACAAACTTTTGGCAGAATTTTTTTCACTCCTCAAAACTCTCCTTAGTCTTTTTGAAAGCTGATTTTCCCGCGCGCCGGCTTCAACGAATCATAGACTTTCATCATAGGAGTTAGCCTTCCAGTTATTTTTAGAGTTCACTGGTTCCACCTTATTTAAAACAATTAAACATTTCGACCCTGCGATTTCCGGTGCAGTGCTCTAACCAACTGACCTATAGAGGCCAGTTGTCGAGCTCTAGCCTTAAAAGTAATTTGTGGTCTTCAAATGAAGACGATCACCTTTTTTTCAAAAAGTAAATTGTTTTTGCTTGTCTTCATTGGATTTCCTTCAAATTGCAGTAATTTACACATGAAAACTGGAGATTTGACAACACAAATCAATGAACTTCAAAGAATCATGTCCGTAGAAAATTTGGGAGGTGGAGGAAAAGACTCTATTTCCAGACAAGAAGTGAACAGCATCATAAATCTTCAAAACCAACTGACCAGCGGTATGGAGGAGGTCAAGTAAGTCCTAGAGGTTCTTCCAGGTGATCTTGATACGCGGAAAAGTACTGGCACTAGTTGTCAAATAGAAATCCATTTTATGATTAAAACAACTGAACATCTCCTGTAATATACTTTATTTCGATTCCATATTTTTGTCAGAGCTATAGTTCTCATAACCAAACATAATTACAAAATTTCAACTAGTTTCATAAAGAATAACGAAAGATATAATTGACTGAATACATCAAAATGGATTTCTATTCGGGCAACCCTTTCTGAGCGCTGATTGGCTAAAATACGAACACGAGATCACCTGGTATAGCAGTCAGATTAAAGGCTGGTTTACACTCTCGAAGTTTCTGTGATCACAATAGGAATTTTGCACAGGTAAATTCTACGTTTTGTTTGAAATGTTTCAAGGAACTGACGAACTGACTTATTGTTTAACATTAAGTCAGTTCCCTCAAATATTTCTGACAAATCCTTCAAAATTTAGAATTTACGTATGGGTAATTCCATGGTAGTGATGACATTTTTTGAAAAAAAAAGTTGTCAAGAATTTTCAGAAGCTATTGGAAACAATTCTGAACTGAAATGTTAAGTTGTACTTTATATGTAACATGAGTCCACGTAACATGAGTCACATGTATCATGTAGCAATCCTTACTATTGTAATTCAAAATATAAATTTTTTTAGTGTTGGTAGTTTGCCTAACATATAGTCTGTTACTTGGTAGACATTGTATGTTTCTCCTTCCTATGGTTCACACATTATGACGTCATACTGTGTATCTACAACTTAACAGACAACGGCAAAATCTTATCTATTTGTTAAGTCATAGCCTGTCCAGGGAAAGATGGCTGTGAAACTCATTACAATAACAATATAACTCATGATCTACCGTATGTTAGTTAACGTTTATTCATAAATCTGGTCCTTCACCGTCACGTGTGTATTGTATTTTTGCCCAACTAACCAATCACAATGTTTTAGGAAAGTTACCTATCCATGACTCAAACAATAGGGAAATTGGAAATTGTTATTGGTGGATGTGGCAAGAATACAATACACATACACACGTGACGGTGAAGGGCCAGATTTATGAATAAACGTTGATCAACATAGATAATGAGTTATATTCTTATTCTAATAAGTTTCTAGGCTATGGTTAAGTAGAGTATTCTTTGTCTCCAATCACCATGGAATATCACCATGCATATTCTGTGTTGTATTACGTTTAGAAATATTGTGCGTGGTCTTAGTGGTGGTGTAGTGAAGAGAGATGTTGGAGACAATGGTGGTGGTGACACAGCGAGTGAGATCAGTAGTTTAAGAAATAGTATGGAGATCATGATGGAAAATGTCAATCATTTAGTTACCAAACAACAGGTAGGGACAACTCTAGTTTTCTTTAGTTATGAAAAGGAAAATTTGCTTAATTTTTAGCCCATCAATCCTTTTTTTGGTTGTGAATTTACTGTTACACTTTTATTACCCAGTTATTGAACTACACACGCAAAAATCTCCCATCTTGTAACAAGTTTGTCAACAAGCCGTCAACAAGCTGTCTTCGCACTGCTTGTCAACAAGTTTGGAACAAGCTATTAACAATTTGTAACAATCTTGTTGATATTATCAGACTTGTTACAAGGTTGTCCCAACAAGTCCGATACAGTCGTGATATAACAATATTGTTACAACCTTGTGACATTCTTGTTTATCATGACTGTGTCAGACTTGTTAGAACAACCTTGTGACAAGTCTGATAATGCCATCAAGCTTGTTACAAGTTGTTAACAGCTTGTTCCAAACTTGTTACAACAACTGGGAACAAGCAGTGCGAACACAACTTGTTGACAGCTTGTGAACAGATTTGTAACAACTTGTTTGCAGACTTGTAACAACTTGTTACAGATCTGCAAACAAGTTGTAACAAGGGTTGTTGTCAAGCCGATATCAGGGTGTGTTCGCACTGCTTGTTCCCAGTTGTTGTGACAAGTCTGAAACAAGTTGTTATCACCTTGTCACAAGGTTGATGACGGTAACAGACTTGCAACAAGTTTTTCCAACAAGACTAATACAGGCTGTTCGTAACAAGTTGCCACGGGCTTGTTGTTATCAACTTGTTAACAATTTTTTACGTCGGTGCAGATCATGTCAGACTTGTTGGAATAACTTGTTGCAATTAAGTCTGTTTGCTTCATCAACCTTGTTACAAGATGATAACAACTTGTTGCAGACTTGTCAACAACTGGGAACAAGCAAGTGCGAATACATCTTGTTGACAAGTTGTTAGATTTTTACGCCGATTGCCACTATTGCTCATTGATTTGTCCATGTTTCCCACCATTACAAAATATTTCACATATTTGTTTTCCTTCCTTAGTTTGCAAGTAAAGAACACGGAAAAGACAATGATAAGGGATGTCCACCAGTGGAAAAACCGAACTGCATAGGACCTGGCTATTTTGTGTTTCTGACAGTTGTACAAATAGTCGCACTTGTAGCTTACTTTACGTACAAAAGTCACAAGGAAGCTGCGGCGAAGAAATTCTTTTAATGGATATGGAAATAAGTATAATTAGTGAAACGAGGATGGCAGTTCCACTCGAGTTCAAATTTTGATGAGAGGTCATAAGGGGCGGACCATTAGAAAAGTGATGGGGGGGGGGTCCATTTTCAACGTGCACGATTTTTTTTTCAAAGTGTTTTGCTGTGTCCGTTATTTTTTTTTTTAATAATCCCTTGCTCGAATTTTATTTTTTCCCCCAAAAATTGCTGGCGGGTGGGGGTGGGGGTTTGGCGTGAAAATTTTTTTTCCGGACTCAAGAATTTTTGCAGAACAAAGAAAAATAAAAAAATAAATTTTCGGACTAACATCAATTCAATTAAGGTTTAAAACACATTTTCCCCCAAAAAACTTCTTAAAACACGATTAAAACGCTTATTTTCGAAATTTCGGGGACACCCTTACACTGTACCTCCAATAGGCCCTGTAATTTTCCCCATTGAAAAGTCTCTGCACGAATTTTTTTTTTCCAGACATTTCTGGTGCACGAATTTTTTTTCTTTCTATTTTCCCTGCTCGGATTTTATTTTTGTTTCCC